ATGTTTTTCAATGTGACTTTGTTGAATTACACAGAACTTTATGTTCCCCAAACATGACACTAAATTCAGCCAAAAATGATACAGCTTTATTGCTTTTCTTTTAAAGTCAGAAGAAGAGGAAAAAGTTAAAAGAAAAAACACTCAAGGTGACACCACACGTTAAAAAACTGGGAAACTGGTCTGTTAAAATGTGTTGGTGGTAACATTTAGGGTTTGGACTCTCATTAATGTGGCCCCAGGGAAAATATAAACACTCTTTCTGAAATTAAATCTCCAGTTTGCCCACCGCAGTCTTGTTTTCAGCTTCAGCTGCTGGCACGTCAGCCTGCAATTGAGGCCTTGCATCAAATGCCAAGCCAAACATTCAAGAACAAGAATGGTAATGACACCCTATTTTGTTTTAAGTCATATTAAAATATAGCGAATATTAAAAAAAATCACTTATTTGGATTAATAACTTAAAAGAAACTGATTTTTATAACCTCTCCCACTTGCACTTGTCTTCAAATAATAAACCTTCAGAGGAAAGCTGTGCTTGATGTGTGAAATTAAGCACACTTGTAACTGTCTAACTCTGAAGGGCATAAGTTTTACCTTCAAGAATTAAAAAAAAGATTCTCTGAGTTTGACAAGTCATTTTGCAAGTGACTTAACACAAACAGATCAATAAATGACAGTCACCAATCTGTAACACAAGTCAGTGTCCTTCCTATTCACACTAATAACATATACATTGTGACAGTACAGAAGGCTACTGCTGAAGTCTCAGAAAAGAGAGGGGAAAAACTAATAGCTGGAGCAGCACATTCCCAACTTGAATGCAGTGTATTCAGGAAAAAAAAGAAGAAATACTAGAGAGAATTTAAACAGATGCTGGTACGCAATGTTGCAGTAACAGGGTTATGATTTGGAGGTGCTTTCTGGTAATAACATTGGTTTTTTTTTTTACAATTTTTACAATTTTTACATTTTTTTTTACAATCACAGACAGTTTCAGCTACCAGGCAGGCATCTTATTACTTTTCTACTGTACTGAAACTGGGAAAACATATGACTTGTACTTTAAGGTATGGTCCAAGATGAGCTGACCCTCTAGAAATGGGTGTTATTAGGATAAATTCTAGTATTTTCCAAATATTCCAAGTATTTTTCAGAAAAGAGCTAAAATATTTCCAGTTCTTCTAGTTACATGGTAAATAGCTATGCTGACTGTCCGAGCACATACCAAGACCTCATAGGGGTAACCTCCCACACATCCCACCAGCTGGACAAAACTGCTCAGAAAACACCTGGTCAGCGAAGCAAGAAATGGGCTGGAATTCTAGTCTCCTAATTTATTCGTATTATTACCAAACTAAAGGAATAATTTCTCTATACAAAGCCAGAAGAGAAACTTGCCAAATTTTTCTTCATGTTACGGTAAGACAGAAATGGCTCATACCAGCTAGCCAGTGATTCTTAAATAGAAATAAAATACTGTTATCCTTAGTTTCCACAATACCGGAAAAAATGATCTTTTAAATACTAAACCCCCCAAAAATCTCATTTGGATATTCGCAACTCTGAAGTGTGCAATATTGGTAAATATTACTCAGAGAAATGCAGTGGTTAGTTATGCTTTCTTCTAAAGGTTATGAGACACAGCTGCACAAATCATATGGGAACACATTGTAGTACAGTGAATTTCATTACATTGCTCATATCTTCACTCCCAACTTCTGTCCCTGAAATCGGAAGGGCAGTGCATCTGCAACAAGAGCCTGTGCCTTTCAGGGAATGAAAACAAGTCTGTCATTCAAATTATTACTCAAGTCCTAGCACATAAGCTTTCCCCAGTTGGCTAAAATATGCCCTTCGGAGTCAATGACAGCAGTGTACAATGTAGCAGACAACATGTAACTGATTAATATAGTTCAGGTTTTTGTAAGAAAACAAGCAGTAAATTTTCCTGAAGGAAAATGAATGACAATGTAAATAGGAAAAATTACAATTTGCTTGTTGGCTGGCTGTGTGGGTATTAGTTCACTAACTACAAATATAAGAAATGCTTACTTTAAATACTTATATCATGAAGTAAATCTTTGTCATTCAGAAAATTTCTGTAAATAACCTATTCAGCATTACATTTATTTGGTAGAAAGCTTTCCCTTTTATGGCTTCCATTCTCCTACATGTGACAACTAGAAGAATTCACTTTTAAGTCTGCGCAGCTACTAATCACAAAAATTAAAAAGTACATAAATAATAGCCACAATATTAGAGTACTCAATTTTAGTCTGCTATAAACATGCAAACTATAACATACTGAACATTTTTTGAAGCACTCAATAGCAATGCATAGATAGCGAATCACTGAACTATGGCACTTATAAATAACTTTCAATCTGTAGCATGGACAATAAAAACACTGGAACTGGACAAGAGAATATTTTTGCAGACCTCCATTCCATGGAACTTCCTAACACTGGTGTGATTTCAAGAGTTAACAATGCCTAGTTTTTAGCAAAAGGCAACATTTAACATTTAACAAAAGGCAAACATTTGCAGATTATGTAGGAGACTGAACGTTATGTTTGAAAAAAATAGGAAGCAAAGAATTTCCTGACCTTTCTACCAACAGATAATTGGAAACAGATCTTAGTTTGAAGTGCACTAGTGACCAATTAACTGCTTTGATCATTAGAATTTTTATAAGACACCTGGAAATATTTTGGGTTTTACTATTATTTTTTGGCCTTACTCAGTTTCTGGACAATTTAAAATGACACTGTCAACATGAAAAATGACATTTCTGTCTGAAAGTTTCATATCTATTTGTAACTAGCTCCTAAGGTGAGAAGAAAATAAGTGCATTTGTGAAAACAACTCAAAACACTATGCTATGCCTCTCAGTTTGCCTAGTTTTCACTTGCTGAACAAAAGTGAAGGAAGGAGACCGAAAAGTGAACTGTCTTACATCCCTCAGTTCAGCATGAGCCAAAAGAATGTCTAACTGCTGCACCATACAGAACCTGGCTCTACATCTTCACTGATGAGGCAGGTATTTTAGAAGTTGTGAGACCATACTCTGAGATAGTCACTGGCAGGGAGGCAGGCAAACACAAAACAGGTAGGAAGCAAGTATGACTGCGTTATTCTTGAATTCTCTCATGCAACTGAGAGTGGTAGACATCAGGAGGAACTAAAACCCAGCCTGAATTCTCTGGGTGGCATTTTAGTCTATATAGATGTCTCCTCTGACAAAGAAATACAACAGCATCTTGAAACTCATAACATTTAAATGATCTGTTGTCCCATGTTAGGAGCTTAGAGAAGCAGGTTCTTTGAGCAACTGCTCTCCAGATATCCTTTGGGAGAATAAATATTCCTTGGGTCCATCTCCTGCTGACATATCATTACTATATGGTCAAACGTACCTTCACACAATTAATAAAGATAACTTTCTGGACATACCGTGATGTATTTTCTCTGGAGAAATGTGTCAGTTGATCAGTTAGGGCAAGAAATTGACGGAAATATAGCGTATTCAATATATTTCAAATATATTCAAGAACACTACCAAATGAATGAAAATTATGCTCCTTATACGTAAACCAATGAGGATTTTGTTTCTTTGAAGATGAGATTTTCATTGTTTCACTGATTTGTAAAAACTTCACAAGCACAAGACAGATTAACAGTAGTCAGACAAGGGAATAATGACACTGAGCTCCAACTATGTGTAGATGGAAAGAAAGTGAAACAAAGTCTCCATTTCTAATGAAAATGGAAATCTAAGAGATTAAGGACCCACAGCTGCTATTGAAGTCCCTGCACTAAACTACTGTCAAGTCAAATTGGTGTGATGTAGCTGTCAACAGTGAGGATTCTGCATTAGATGGACTAGATGATCTGCATTAGTGGTCCTATTTATGATACAAGCTAATTTAATAGAAAACCCATATTCATTTTCCCCACAGATTATCCTTTGCAAATGACCAGCTTCAGATCTAAACAAACTCAAACATTGTTATGGATTATTTTTTGCCCTGGATGTCTGTTTAAATGTCTTTGTCAGTATGACCCATACTAGTAAATGGAAGCTTCTCCATTCACAGCATAATGGAAGAGAGAGCTCATCCAGTACTAATTTTAACTAGTAGTAGAGTGCAACATCTGAAGATAAATCATACTTCCTATAATACCATATAGCCCACAAAAGCAGGGAACACAAGAGGCCAAACATTATCTCTTCTTCCTTCTCCTTCCAGGACAACATTACTAATTAGGTTCAAGCTTAGTGATTTTATTTATTGAGAATACTTAAATCACTGAATTTGATCTTACAGTTTGAAAGAGGGTTTTTCGTTTGTTTTCTTTTTATGAGGGCCTTGAAGGGGAGGCTCCTACTTTGCTCTCTGGAACAAAATCAAACTGTCTTTTAAGTTACATTTTACTGTTTATACACAATCATTAAACTGCAAGTATACAGAATTAACAGAGTAGCTGAAACTGAGCTTCAGAACATTGCAACATTTTGTAACAGGAACCGTGCACTGGTTATAAATGATGCTCAAGAGAATACCATTATATTTTCAGGCTGCAATATGAGTTGAGAGGATTATTAATGACCTTTGTGTGCATGCAAACTGCACACAAAGGTAATCTCTGAACATCAAATAGCATCTATTATTGATACTGAAGTGCTTTCAATGAACTGAACTCAGATCACAACTTGAATGATAGACTGCATTTATGTCCTATCTTTAAGTTACTGTAGTAATACTTTAAATTTATCAGTGTATTGATTTATGCTTTTCTGCCTGTGATGAACTTAAAATTCTATAAATATGTATGAAGAAATATATCATAGTAACAAATTGTTTTGAAAAAGAGTGACAAATCTGAAGACATAACTCTTGATTCTGTTTTCTTGTGCATTTTAAGACAGTTTTAAGGATTAATAAGCTTTATCTGTTTCTCAATGCATGAAGTGAAGCCCACAGCCAGTGGTAACTCACCCTTTTCTGCTCATTAATATATTCCATCAGTTCCTCTCTTGTCCTTTTCACTGCTTCTTCAACTGCCCTTTCATTTCGTTTTTGCTCCTCCATTAGTGCTTCCTTGACAAGTTCCTTTTTGAAAGAAAATATGTAGGAGTAAATATTAAAGTATTTCACATATGTAATAACAGGTCATCCATTTCCTTCCTACTGAAATTGTATCATGAACACACTCCTTTCTCAATAACAGTTATCTTAAAGGTATGTGATATCTTTACAAGTATTTTTTAAATTCAGTACTTCAATAATTAAAAGCCCTGAGAAGAGCAAAATAATCACTTTAAAGATGTATTGCAGATGCTCTGAGGGAGGATTTGGAGGACAGCACATGGAATTAAGGGCAGACATTCACTAGGGCTTCTAGTGTAATTATTCACATACATGTTTTTTTTCACATCAAAACTTTCTAAAAATTAAAAGTAAATATACATGAACCATTTCCCTATTACTGTTTGCTGATTAGACATTAATACTCTGTTACTAGTAGGCAACACAAAACATTATCTACAGGTTTTCCTCACTGCAGAGTAAGAAAGACAGACATTTTATGACACAAATCTGTAATTTAGATTTGTGAAAGTGTGGCAGGTTGGCCTATTCTTTGTTTTTAACCCCCCCTTTTTTTAACCCCTTCCTTTGTTCCCACCCTCCAATCTCTTCTGGCCAAGGACCAAAGATCTAAACCAAGTTCAAACTCTTCCTTTTGCTATATGCTGCACTATCAGATATGACCCATCATCCATTATTAACTAAATATTAAACAAGAATAATGCCTTCTAAGCAACGCGGTTTGTACACAGAAAGTAAAACTTAACATCATTTTTCACCATGTCAGTAAAAAAAATAAATAATCAAGGATAGCTTAACTTTTCTTTCAAATTTAATTGTTCACAGGCTTTTAGGGTCCTGTCAAAATGACTGAGTCTACCTTATACATGCACTGTCCCCCTTCGAAGAAATCAATTACTTTGCTGCACTACTTAAAGTACTCAATTTAAAGCAGAAATTAAAGGAGAAATATATAACTTTACAAGTGTTTGTGAGATAGAATGACAATATTTTATTGCTTTCTTTACTGATTTAAGAAACATTTGTCAAGGTATAGTGACACCTTCTTTAAATACAGAATGTCAAAATGCTGAGGTATGCATTCTTGATGCCTTAAAATTCTGTCTTCTTCGCAGAAAGTATTTTTTCAGGAACTCAATGGTATTGAGTGGATTCATTCTGAAGAAAGGTGGAATTCTAAGGCTTTGGAAGTAGAAGATATTTCTGAAATTACATAATTCGTCTGTACATACAGAGTGGCATTTTACCATATGTTGTTAGCATACCAAATGAATTGCACCAAACCACATTTCCTTTTAATGACTCTTCAGTGGAAGTGTTTCAGCGGGAAGTGTTATTTCTTACCTTTAGCTATTTACTCCTCTTCAGCCTAAACTGAATATTTTCTGCAAAACTATACTTCTGCCATATTTAACACAGAAAAGTCTAAAATCCCAAATTACAAACGTGCAACAATGTAGTCCCCTCTATTCTGGAATACAGCAAATATGAAAACCATAGTTGTGAAAAGTGATGATCATTCTTTTTGATTTTAATTCAGTTTACAAAAAAAATATAAAAAAATCCTGAGACAAAGGTCTCTTTCATTACAGAACTAACAGAACACTAATAGAAAAAGTAGAAGAAAGATATATATTATAGAAATACACTGTTTTCATAATTATATTCTCATGGCAGTTTAATTTGTCAAAAGGTACCAAAATACTGTCTTAGAATGGAAAAAAGACCATTATCTACCCCATTAAACCCTTAAAGCAAATTATAGAATTAATAAGGTGCTATATCTTAGTATGTAGAAAATATATCATCAAGAAAATACTTACAATCAATTAAAGTATGTTAACTTCCCTTGATATCGTGCTACTTGAAACACTACATGAGTAGAAGTCTAAACAAAAAATACAACTAAAATCTACAAGTCTATTAAGAAAAAACAAAACAAACCAGAAAACTCTAGTAATACTTTTATGGAAGACTGTTTCATTACACCAGTATTAAACCAGAAAACAGAAAATTGGAAAGAATTCTTTTCCATTTACAGTGGCACGTTCCCAAAATTTAGACTAGTATTAATTCTCTGAAGAATATAGTTACGGATAACAGTGAAAGCAAAGTTGTATAACATCCTGTTGAAGCAAAGCATATAATCATACTAGTTTTTACTGTTTGTTATTTCAAGAGCAACAAGTTAACCTAAAAAATAAGTTATTTTCTAACATAGAATCATAAAATAGTTAGGGTTGGAAAGGACCTTAAGATCATATAGTTCCCCAGAAGGAACAAAAAATTACTGGTTACTTCTACACTATTAAAGTTGTTACCTTAACTTTTTACTTTCTCCCCCTTCCCTCTTTGTCATACTCATAGTATTTATGAAGTAAGAGTTTCATAATAAGGAGATCCAAGGATCCTCTTAGCTTCCCTAGATCTTCCAAAAACGGAAGATTTAAGAATTCAAGCCAAGTCCCTCATTGCTTTTCAGTGCCTCAACTCTAGCGCATAAATGTTAGCTTTTCTATATATTCCCGGAAGTCAGCAGTTCAGAAAAATATGAATAATCCTGAATCAGTGGATATTCCAAAATACTAATATTTCAAAAAGCAAATACCTACTCCCAAAGGTTCTGGGAATATCTAGTATGTGGAACAGCTACTCCAATTTCTTTAATCCCTGTGCTTTCTTTAGTTTTATATAGATCTTTTAATTACACAGTGGATGACTCAAAATTTGAGTAAGAACAACTGCCATACCACATACTAAGTTTAATTTTAAGTGAACATAGCAAACAGAGCTTTACTTTAGAAAAGCCTTTGACACCGTTTCACAAAGTATTCTCCTGGAGAAACTGGCTGCTAATGGCTTGGATGGGGGTACTTTTTGGTGGATTGAATACTGGCTGGATGGCTGGCTTTCACAAAGTGCTCTCCTCTAAAAGTTATTCTCTCTCTCAAAGTCATTGTCTGTCTTCACACTGTTTCTGTCAGTCATTGCAGCAAATTATCAACTGATACAAAGTTTATTTAAAACTGATATTACCTATGATTAGTGTTTAACAAAGGCTTAGCTGCATGTACATGCTATCAGCATATGCACTTACTTCAATCTTTCATCTCTTTCTTTGCTCTTTCCTTCTATATCATAGAATAATAGAATGGTTAGGGTTGGAAAGGACCTTTAGATCATCTACTATATGTACCTTTTGATTTTATCCTAACTTAGATTTTAGTTGCAGAGGTAAAAATTGGCATTATTTCATCTTTAGTAAAAAGGGTACAGCATATTTGAGGCTCTTAGTGCTATTTTAAGATTCAAGAAAATGGGAAAGCCCATTTTGCTATAAGAAGCTGAGGAAGAGCACTCCACAAAATGCACTCGAGGTGTAACTTTTTTTAAATTTTATTTTACTTTTCAACTATCTGATTAGAGGATGGAGTACTACATTGCAGTCACAAAATTACGGGGCTTTATACACATGTGCTGGACATCAGTTAGAAGATTAGAATACCTAACGAAAAACAAAGTTATTCAATTACTCAGTTGACAAATCATATTCAACCACATGTTAGGAATCATAACCATGTAATCACAATATATATATATCTGCAGGAAAACCAAAAGAAAAACAGTGTACGGGATATATCAGAGAACTCTAGTCAGTATAAAAGAAAAAAACAACAAAAAATACCAAGGAAGCCGTACGATGGTTTGCGATTTTATAGGAAAATTCTTCTGTTTCCACACAAGGATCAGGTGGCAATACTAAATTTTATCTAGGAAGTGCAACCACAGGCTGCAATGTTAGTGGTTTTTCAGAAAATAGTAACCCTCAAATTATAACGTCTGTGGTTTAAATTACTACAAACTACTTCTGAAGTCAGACACGGTTAAAGTCTGCATGCAGTGGAGCACTCCCTTTCCAGACTTTGCAAGCCCATTAAAAACAAAGTGATCTTGTGGCAGGGATCTCTTTCCACTCAGTCCTGCTAAGTTGTGTGCTTCCTCACACACTCGAGATTACACAACATTTCCTTTTAATGAAAAATGATTTTCTGTGTCCTTATAAAATCACCATGGTCTCCAGAAACACTGAATACACTAATGTTTCTGCAAAAAGGTGGAAAAAGAATAAAGTGAGACTGAAAATAATGGTTGGGTATCCTCTTGAGAGAAATGTAAGCAAACGCTCTCACAATATGGTAAACACAAAAGAAATTGGAGAAGATGTCCTTTGAAGGACAAGTTCTCCAGCACATTACATGATACTGTATCATCAACAGCCTGTTTGGGAATGGATCATGATATTGAGACAGAAATACATTAACTTCTTGTATAAATCAACAAGATACTGAACATGAACAGCAATGTTACAGTAGTCCAAGCTTTTTGGTGAAAACATCTTTTTTTCTTCCAAAGATTAACACACTCCCTCTGGATCAAAATCCTACAAAATCTAACAAAGTTGCTCCTGTAATTGCAATACCAAATATGCCATTTTGCTGGGTACTTCAAAAGCACAGAATAAATGGAGTATTTAAAACTCTACCTCTCCCACAGGACTCTAAAACCTATGTATATGATGAAACAAATAACAAATGGGCAAAGAAAGACTGATAAACTGGTACTGTTTTGTATTCCCTTAACTGGCAATGCTCTGTAAATCAGAGATAAGAAGAGATTTGAGGATATATTTAAAGAAATTACATTAATATTATATGTCACATGGAAATCCTCCCATATACAAGAGCATCATAAAAGAGGGAAAGAAATGCCACTATCATGATTTTTTTTTAGGTAAAAGTTGATCTCCAAGTAACAAATACTGTAAATAGAGTAAATAATGAGAAGAAAGAGACAAAACCAAACTCTGACACAGAGACAAAAAGCAGTTTATAGCCTATTTAACAAAGAAGGATTTGTGGAAAGCCCAAAGTAAAGGGATGGAAAGTGATCATTACAGCAATACTGTGGAAGGACAAATGGAAATAGCACTCAAACTAGGCACA